CACAATCTCAGCTCACTGCAACCTCCACCTCCTGGGTTCAAGTGATTCTCCTGCCTCAGCCTCCCAAGTAGCTGGGACTACAGGCGTGTGCCACCACACCCAGCTAATTTTTGTATTTTTGGTAGACATGGGGTTTTACCATGTTGGCCAGGATGGTCTCCATCTCTTCACCTCGTGATCTGCCTGCCTCAGCCTCCCAAAGTGCCGGGATTACAGGTGTGAGCCACCACGCCCAGCCTGAGCCTTCACTTTTCATCTCCAACCACTGTGGGTGGGAGTGGAGCCCTGGTAAACCAAGCAGGTCGAAGCCTGGGACTGGGAGGAGACAGACCAGCTGCAGAAGGTGACTCTCTGGGCACCTTCAGCCAGGGTTATGCCTCTACCCAGGAGGGTGCCAAGGGTAGCCTTAAGGCACTGCCACTAAGGGGCAGAAGCAGCTGGTCAGAGGTGCAGTCCAGCACCCTAAGGGAGCCCCCTGCTGGGCCACAGGAACTGAAAGGCCAGGCCTGCAGTTTAAGGGTAACTTCCTCGCAGGATCCCACATAGATTTCCCCCAAGCAGAGGAGCTGTATGGAATGAATTCAGCATTCTGGAGTGCTGTACTTATTGCCTGCCTCCTTCCAAAACTCAGTCAGGATACAAAGATTAGCTGGCCGTGATGGCAGGTGCCAGTAATCCTAGCTACTCAGAAGGCTGAGGCAGGAGAGTCGCTTGAACCTGGGGGGCGGAGATTGCAGTGAGCGTCACGACACTGCACTCCAGCCTGGGTGACAAGAGCCAAACTCTGTCTCAAAAAAAAAAAAAAAAAAAAAGCGAAAAAAGTGGATGAAGGATTCTGGCGCACAATCCAAGTGATTAAAAATCCCCTTCAGGTGTTGTTTCACTACAATCTTTCACACTCATGCCCTCCATTCTCAGTTGAGGATGTTATTACACACTCATTCCACTTTTGGGCAAAGTGAGGCACAAAGAGGGAAGATGGCTTGTGCAGAAAACACGTGTATGCATGCCTTATGTTGTACAAACTTGACATAACTCACTTCCTCATAATCACAGCTGTCAAAGTTTGGTCCATGGACTAGCAGCATTAGCATCACCTGAGAACTTGCTAGAACTGGAAATCCACTCAGAAACTTCTACTGGATCAGAAACTCCTGAGTGAGGCCCAGCGATCCAGGTTTTAGCAAGCCCTCTAGGGGATTCTGATGTATGCCAAAGCTTGAGAACCACTGTCTACAACAACCCTATGAAGCTACTATCCCTCATTTTACAAATACGGTGAGGCACTGTGAAGGCCATTGGTCTTGGACCACACAGCTGTAGGTGGGGTGCCAGTATACAAATCCAGGCAGTTTGGCTCCCTCTTGGAGACTACCAACGAGTTGACATCAGAATCTAAAGTAGGGGCCAGCACCGTGGCTCACACGTTACACCCGGGAGGATGAGTACGCACTTTGGGAGACCGAGATGGGAGGATTACTTGCGGTCAGGAGTTCAAGCAGCCTGGTCAACATGGTGAAAACTTATCTTTACTAAAAATGCAAAAATTAGCAGGGTATGGTGGCGCACGCCTGTAATCCCAGTTACTCAGGAGGCTGAGGCGGAGAATTGCTTGAACCTGGGAGGCAGGGGTTGCAATGAACCAACATCGCGCCACTGCACTCCAGCCTGGATGACAGAGCAAGACTTCACCTCAAAAGTAATAATAATAAATTAAAGAAAAAAAAATCCAAAGTAGGGTTAGTGTCATGCGCGTCAGTGTGAAGAGACCACCAAACAGGCTTTGTGTGAGCAACATGGCTGCTTATTTCACCTGGGTGCAGGCGGGCTGAGTCGGAAAAGAGAGTCAGCGAAGGGAGATAAGGGTGGGGCCATTTTATAGGATTTGGGTAGGTAAAGGAAAATTACAGTCAAAAGGGGGTTCTTCTCTGGCGGGCAGGAGTGGGGGTCACAAGGTGCTCAGTGGGGGAGCTTTTTGAGCCAGGATGAGCCAGGAAAAGGAACTTCACAAGATAATATCATCGCTTAAGGCTAGAGCCAGCCGTTTTCACTTCTTTTGTGGTGGAATGTCATCAGATAAGGCGAGGCAGGGCATTTGTACTTCTTTTGTGATTCTTCAGTTACTTCAGGCCATCTGGGCGTATATGTGCAAGTCACGGGGGATGCGATGGCTTGGCTTGGGCTCAGAGGCCTGACAGTACAGAAATTTTTGGCCATTCACGAGTAACTCCATATTGAGTGTGTGCCAGGCACAGTCCTAGGCAATCGGGTCCAGGGGACCTCGCTCTCACTGAAGCGACTCTGGGGAGGGGCTGGAGCTGGGAGTCATGGAGAGGTCAGAGAGCAGCGCTTCATGCGTGAGAAGAGGGAAGAAAACGAGCTGGGAAGTCCCTTTAAAAGGCGGGGCCTGGCGGACGGAACTGCGGAGCGACGCTGAGGTGTGCGCCTGGGAGGAAGAGTACGCTACACCCGGGAGGATGAGTACGTTACACCCGGAAGTGTCTCCAGGGAGAGGAAGTCGTGCGCCTCACCGGTATGGGCCGCAACAAGAAGAAGAGGAGAGATGGTGACGACCGGCGGCCCAGGCTCGTTCTCAGCTTCGACGAGGAGAAGAGGCGGTGAGTGGCAAAGCCGGACCGGACTCCCCTCGAGCTGTTTTTCGCGGCCAAGGCCAGGTCTGGGGCCGAGCACGCTCCCGCGGAGGGCTCTTCCGGCCCCGCCCCCTGGCGTGGCTAGAGAACTCCTCTCGGCCTCCCAGCTCCGGTTCCCGCTTCTCCCTTCTCGGTCTCCCCACCTCGCCTAGTGTTTCTGCGCCGCCAGACAGCCGGCAGCTCGGGTCTCAGAGGCGTGGCTTCGACCACCCTAGCCCAGCCCAGTCCATCGGCCCGGCACACAGTAGGCGCCCAGCCGTGGCTGGCGAATGATGAGTCACTGAAATGAGAGTGGCCTAAGTTCATTCATTCGCTCTCCAGACATTTATTGGGCTCCTTTGGTGTGCTAGGTCCCCTATCAGGAAAGTGAACCCTTGAGCCTCAGCGTCCGGCCAGACAAATAAATGGCACATGGTAGCGGGTCAGCGAAAAGCCCAGTGCTGGACTGTGGGACAAAATGGGAAGAGAGCAGCTGGCACTGCGGAGATGAGAAGGGGCTGAGATCAGACCGAGGGAGAGAGGGTGGGAAATGCTGGGCATCGTCAGGAAACTCCTAGCGTGCATCAACAGGCCGTACAGGCGAGTTCAGGGTCAGGTGTCTTGGAGACATGGTGTTGGTCCAGTGCAGGGTTTCTAAAGGTCTGGATGAGGGTGGCCTGAAAGCCCTGTTGAGAGAGTAATGAGGTTTGCCGGTGTGGAAGGGGTTACCCCATGTACTGTGTGTGCCCCCGCACCTGGCCCTGTTCCCTGAACCTGAGATCCCTGGAGAGTATTGAGTGGAAAGGGGCAGTATCTCCTTTATTTTCCTAAATGTGTCCTTTCTTTAAACTTGGGCAAGTAACCTAGACTCTGTGCCTCAGCGTCCCCATCTGTAAAATGGAGATTGCTACCCACTGCACAGGTTGTTGTGAGGGTTTTTTGTTTGTTTGTTTGTTTGTTTTTGTTTTTGTTTTTTTTTTGAGACGGAGTCTCGCTCTGTCGCCCAGCCTGGAGTGCAGTGGCCAGATCTCAGCTCACTGCAAGCTCCGCCTCCCAGGTTCACGCCATTCTCCTGCCTCAGCCTCCTGAGTAGCTGGGACCACAGAC